CTGAAGACATACTTCTCTACACTCTTAATGGGCTACCGTCCCAATATCAAGCTTTCAAGGCCTCGATTCGCACGACACTATTGCTGATCATCCTTGACGTCTTGTACGACACTATTGCTGATCATCCTTGACGTCTTGTACTCCCTCATTCTTAGTGAAGAAATAAACCTCTACACGGAATCTGCTAAAGAAGCCAACAATCCTCACATGTCCACCACCCTCTTTTCCTCTCGCGGTCGCGGACGAAATAGAGGATGATTCGTCCAAAATGTTGGCTGAGGTCGCAACAACAACACCTCATCACGACCACCCTCTTCCTCCACTACTGGTAATATCTTCTATCAAATCTGCGGCAAATGTGGTCATCAAGCCAACATATGCTGGCATCGCCTCATTCTTCAATATCCTACAAAGGTTATAAGTGTCTTGCTCCTTCTATGGGCAAAGTTTACATCTCTAGACATGTGTCATTTGACGAACACACCTTTCCTTAACTCTTCAATCCACCGCCACTTCCTCAGTCGTTCCCACAACATACTTCTACTAACCCCCAGCTTCTTATTCCCACTTACCTGACTACACCTCCGCCACCTCTTCATCCTTCCCCTCTGCATGTTCCACCTACAGTCCGGAATTCCTGTCCTACCTCCTCAAACAACCACTCCTCCCCCAGCTATTTTATCAGTTCCTTCCCCACCATTACCTATTCCAAATCAACCATCCTCCTCTCATCGCATGTTCACTAGATTTAAAACCGGTTCTCTAAACCCTGCCAAATTCTTAATCTTCACTCCTCCCTTAACTCTTATCCAACTACCTATGCCGAAGCCATCAAGCATCCTCATTGGAGAGCAGCGATGGCATCTGAATTCTTATCTCTTCAACAACATGGCACTTGGAAGCTGGTCCCACCTCCCCCCAACACACCCATCTTTGGTTGTCGGTGGACTTATAAAATAAAGAAAAATACTGATGGCATGATCTCACGATACAAAAGCTCGTTTGGTAGCCCAGGGCTATCACCAAGAATACAACCTCAACTACACAGAAACCGTTAGTTCGGTGGCCAAATTCCCCTCAATTTGTATTCTTCTCACTATAGCTCATAGTTTAAAATTGTGCAATAAGAGGCGCGCTTCTACGCAATTCGGCCCCAAAGAGCCTCATTGCTTAAGCTTTATTGGGTCCAGGTGAGGCGTATGCCTCTGTGCTTGTGAGGCGCAACTCGGAGGCTGAATTGTGCAATTTTGAGTGAGGCGCACATCTCATGTAGCTGGGTCTCACACACTTAAGTTCTTAATGAAATAACCTTTCTTCCCTTTTCTTCTTTCGGCCTACCCGAACCAAAAGGACCAGCTTCGCAAAGCCGCAAGTCCGCATGCTAGCTCCGCTCGGCCTCCCTTCCCGCCGCCTCTCCCGCTAGTGAGCTTCTAGTGTCTGGCCACCCTCTACGACAACTCCGCTACCGATTTTAGGTTTTTTTTTTTTTAATTCAAGGTAAGATTTATCAAGTTATAGAAAATATAGGATTTTTTATTTTTTTTAGATTTTTTGTTTGTTTTCGCATTTGTGCATTAGGAAACATGGTTAAAGGCAAGGAAAAGACACATACGTCATTGCGGCGGGACCCTTGGAAATACAATGTGCATGTTGATGTAGGAGGCGGCGAGAAGACATGTGTATTTAAAATACAATTTTTATGATAAAGTGGTGAAGGGGAGGAGTTACTCACGTGAAGGAACACTTTTTTGGCTCACATAAAAATGTAACACCTTGTACGAATGTGTCGTATAAGGTGAAGGAGGAAATTACTGCTTATATGAAGAAGAGTACCACAGCTAATCATTTACAACATGAGCAATTTGATGAAAGAGTCAAACATGGTGCTTTCTACGGGAGCGAGAGTGGAAAGGACTCTTCGTCCACTATACATAATAGGAGGTGTGTGGGGTCCTTTGGACTATTATATGATTAATCCAGGAGAGGATAGAGGACATGCACAGATGACGCCTACAGCTAGTACTAGAGCCGTCAGGTTTGCATGGATATTGACAGATTTTTTTTTGAGAATGTCATTCCATTTAATGTTACGACATCGCCGGCTTACTTCAATATGTTGTGATCTGTATGGTTGTATGGGAGAGGGTTGAAGGTACATTCCATGTATGAGTGGTTCATAGATGATGAGACAAATTTGTCAATATCAGACCTGCAGCTAGAGGATCTAAGTGATCAGACATGCAGCTAGAGGATCTATGTGTGGATGTCTTGAGGGACAAAGCAGATTAAGTGTCCACTAGTACCACACCACACACATCCACTAGTTCTGCAGCACAACAAGCAAAGAAACGTATCTCATAATTTCTTATGTGCTATTACATTATATATATATATATATGCAATTAACATGACACTAATCATTCTTATTGAACAAGGAAGAGAAGTGGTAACATTGCAGATGATGAAGATTTGACATTCATAGATACAATTGAAGAGTAGATTCCCTTGAAGACCTATTTAGTGATGGGACATGATTGAATTTTATATATTCTTTCTTATTTGTACTTTGGGAGTCTTGATAGACTTATATTTGTAGTTATGTACTTTGAATTATGCTATGAGATGCATATATTTTATTATTTTCCACTAACTTCACTTTTCATTTAGAAATTTTTATTGTATGATAGACTCTTACTATTATTTACCTGTTAAAATACTTAAAATCTCATTTACGCAATTCTTCGTCCGTGAGGCTTACGTGTCACACCGTCTCGAGGCTTACGCCTCGCCTCACAGACGAAAAATGCATCGAGGTTTATTAACGCAATTTTAAACCTTGCTATAGCTGTCACTCATCAATGGCATATTCATCAACTTGATGCTACAAACGCTTTTCTTCATGGCTCCCCTCACGACACCATTCACATGGAGCAATCTCATGGATTTGAGGACAACACCTACCCTAATCATGTTTGTCTGCTTAAAAAATCTTTATATGGTCTCAAATAAGCTTCGCGTGAATGGTTTCAAACCTTCTACATGCATCTTCTATCTCTCGGTTTCCACAACAGCTCATCCGACCCATTGCTCTTCATCCTCAATCAGAATTCCTTTGAAGCCTGTCTTCTTATATACGTTGATGACATCCTTCTTATAGGGAATACTCCCTCTCTTCTTTTGATATCATTTCCTCACTCAGCACTAACTTCTCCATCAAAAATCTCGACAACCCCTCCACTTTCCTCAGCATTTAGATTCTCTCCCACAATAATCAATTTCATCTATCTCAATCTTCCTATGCTCAATCCATTCTTCAACAAGTTGCCATGGACAAGTGCAACCAAATTGCCAATCCATCCACCACCAAGCCTTCTACTCCTCTTGATCTCCTTCTCTTCAATCCCACCACATACCGTCAACTCACTGGTTCTCTTCAATACCTCACCATCACCAAACCTTACATCTCATTTGTCGTCAACACCCTATGCCAACACATGCATAATCCTTCTCCAACTCACTATCATCTTCTAAAACATCTTCTTCGTTATATAAAAGGCACACTTTCATTTGGCCTTCCCATTTCCTCCTCTCTCGCTTTATCAGGATTCTCAGATGCCGACTGGGCAACGGACCTCGACACCAGATGTTCTACTTTGGGCTATTGCTTCTTTCTAGGTGACACACTTATCTCTTGGATAGTCCAACAGCAACAAACCGTTGCTTGATCCTCCATAGAAGTGGAATACCGCTCCTTAACTACTGCTACAGCCGACGTCATTTGGATTCGTTGTCTTCTCTCCAACTTCAATCTTCCCCAAAGTCTACCTTCGGACATACACTGTGACAATATCTATGCCATTGCTCTCGCAAACAATCTGGTGTTCATGCTAGAACGAAACATATCGAAATGGATTTTCATTTCATACGAGATCACATACAGTCCAAGGAAATCATGGTTGTTCCCATCAGCTCGGTTGATCAAACCGCTGATATCTTTACTATGTCTCTTCCTATGCCTAGATTCAACCTTCTCAGAACCAAGCTAACAGTGCAGCCCTCACCACTAGCTTGCGGGGCGTAAAAGCCATACCAGACTCTTATACGAATATATCTATAACCGACTCAACCAATAGCAAGTTGCCAACGGTACAACACACCAAGTAGCTCTATATAAATCATTGTAACTGTTCTCTCAAGGTAGATGTAATAAAAAATTTCTTGTTCTGCCTCTATCATCTTCCTTGCGTATTCCTTCTGCTTCAGATTATTGGCTTTCAAATATGTTTTAAGAATTGTGCAAGCCTTTTTGGAAGATTGAAAAATTGTCTCTCAAATATGGAATTTTTTTTTTTAACATGATGCTTCTCGAGCGAGTTGTTTTGCCTATAAGAAATTAAAAATTAAGGGGTAAATATTAAAGTAGAGTTTGATCAAGCCATCCTGGGTTAAAATTAAAAATTTTGGTTCTTGTTCAAATTTGATTTGAGTAGAGCGCTGAGTGATTAAGGCTTCGTTTGGGAGGGCTTTCTTCCTGCTTCTTAAAGCAGCTTTCAAGTATAAAAAATAAAACTTTTGTACTAAAAAACTGCTTTAAGAAGCAATAAGAAAGCCGTCCAAAACAAAGCCTAATTTAGAGTCTAAATTCAGGCATCGTAATTAAAAAAAAATGTTTTTTAAACAATTAATTGATTTTGGTTCATATACGGGTATATATATCGAGTTGGTATCATGTTAAATCAAGCTAAGCGAACTATTCATTAGTCGAAGCAAATTAATTTTTATTTTGACTTAATTTAATTTTGATTAATTATCAAATAGTTTTTGAATTTCAAACTTAATTATGAATCCCATTAGTTAGTTATTTTTCTTTATTTGAAGTGAACTTATATTTTCTCCATATCTTCCTTTTTATTTCTATTCTGTTTAAAATATTATTGACTTGCAAAAGCTATTATCTGTCTGAACTCTTGCAATGTGGATTATTTAATTTCTTTGATCAGGTATCTGGTGCTGATGTCACAATCCATGATCCAAAACCGGGAACGCATGAAGGAACCATTGTTTTATCAGGATCTCAGAAACAGACTAGTACTGCCCAAGGCCTTCTCCATGCCTTCATCCTTAATGGATTATGATATCATACTAATGATCTTTTGATGCCAAAGCATAAGGATATAAGATACTACTTCTGATGCCGCCTTAAATATGCTAATCAGTATTTCTGTGCTCAGCTGCTTAGATTTTTCGGTATGCGCAGAGACGCTGTTATACAGATTGTTTACAGCTCATTCTAATTGTTTGTTTGATATATTGAAAATTCATTCAGTAAAGTGTGAAGCTTAAGTAACCAAGAAACGAATTTTTAAAATTTTAAAACAGACCAAGTCACTCGCCATTGATCTGCCATGTGGCAGAAGTTGCTCGTTACATGATGACTTGTAAGGTGGTGGAAGTAGCATGCCATTTGGGGACTTTTAATTTTTTTTGAAATATTATTGGCTAGTTGTTGGCCAGGCATTGTGTTGTTTCAACGAGCTATTTGAGCCTTCTATACACCCCCAAATAGCTTCCCCTACTCCTCTGACTGCTCATAAGCATTACTTTCTTAGAGTTCTTGCAAAAAATGTTGGTTGAAGTCATTGGTGATGAGTTTATTTTCAGTCTAAGAGATCTGCTAGTTTTGCTACTTTGTCTTTTTTTACTGAACATGTCAGATTTGTTTGGATATATATATATATATCTCATTGTGTTAATTTATGGTTATATGTTATTTTGAATTCTAATTTTATTTTAACGCCTCTTCAAGCCGAAATGATATGCATGAATTCGAAATTTGTGACCGAGTCATTTATTGCATATTATGATATATATATATAAGAGTTTGTGACTAAGTCATTAATATAATCTTGGCGTTGGGCTGACATGTAGTGTTAAAATGAATTTATTTGAAAAATAGGAAAATATGGATCCAGTATGTAGGGTTGCGGCACTGGGTTGACAAGCGTTGCAGTGCTAGAAACCATTGTAGCTGCAACATTGAAAGCTATGTTTTATAGTAACTCTGTAATTGACATGCAACAAAGTGGTGGTAGGTAGTTGGGTGCCATGGTTGAGTAATGAATTAGCTTTTGAATATATTTAATATAAATATACCTCACAACCTAGCCCTTCCCCTCTATTCCATTTGTTTGTCGTGGAAGAAAGAAAGGAGGAGAAGGGAAAGAAGAGAGGAGAGAGAGAGCTCTATGAGGATTATTTTTATTGTTATAAGTGATCTTTATTCTACTTCTATTTTTAATGATTCTAAATTTAGTATATTTCTCCCTCTTTAATTTGGTAAAAATGCAATATCTTTTATTTTATTGAATTTTCACTGCGTAACTTTTAGTATGTGATTGATATCACTATTTTAAATATTTTGATTAGTTTATATAAAAATTTCATTGGATAAACTAATAGTTATGATTTTATAAAAAAATTAAAATAATATGGATTATCATGTATCTCATAGATTAATACATTTCATACATGATATTGATGCGTAGAAAAAATGATATCATTGAGACATAATAATGTGACATTTGCATGTAAGCAAGAAAAAATTAGATGTCAATATTATAATTAATATGAGTGGTCTTTTTAAAACATAATAACCTGTAGAGGAGGGTGAACTGATGAGAATTTTATAATCATGAAAGTTAGCATGTAACAGATTAATCGATTATTCCGTCAGAGAGTGATTACTCTTCATTGATTATTGAAAGTGGTCTATTAAAATTAAATAATTAATATAGAGAATTCAAAGATATGACTAATCTGTGATAAATGGATATATATGACAGATGAATGATGAAAATAATATATCAAAGATGAATGTCTTGCCTTGCGGAACTCATATGAATATGCATACATGATAATATTTCATGATATGATAAATATTAAATACATGATAAGATAAATATATTAATGATAATGATATAGTGATGATAAATATAACATATGAAAGATAAGATAGATTGATTAATTGACGTGATTGACATGCAATTATACTGATGTTAATATATATGATATATGACGGGCATATAATTTGTATATGATAATACTATATGTGAATTACATGATATGCAGGATACTATTCCTAATGACTGTTATAGGTTCTAACAGATATGTGATTATTTTTTATGTTTGATCCATTAACTTTAGTTATAGATACTGGTTACTTGTTGGGCTATGTGCTCATTATATAGTTTTTACATGATTTTAGGAAAGATAGGGATTCTATAGATGGAGGTTGTTCTAGGGCTACCGGCTGGACTTTTCTTTTTTGCATCTATTGAACTTAATGTTTTCTCTTTGTAGTCATGATGTATTTGTATTGATAGACTATTTTTTGTTGTACATCATGACTATTGTATATATTTTTTTGGGACTTTGAATCAAGATGTAAATATTGACTGTACCAATATATTTATATTTTTTGTTGTCTATATTTCTTGAATTTAGTTAATCAGCTCTGGTTATTGTTTGAATGATAGAAAGGTGTACAATACTTTCAATTTAAATTATGGCGCATGACAAAAATGGTATGAGATTAATGATTATTTGAATAATTAAAACTTTGTAATCAGAGCTGTTAATTGACTCTATATAGGATAGTGTAGGAGTATTGAGTTGCATTTATACATTCATGAACATAGTTACATATATGTACACATGAAGTATATGAAACTGAATTTGAACATTATTTTATTATTTGATTGAAATGCATTGCTTTACATGATAGATGATCGATTGATTTATATGTTCGTGTTAGAAAATGAATGCATGATGAGTTTGTTATGATTGGATTGATGTAATCGATGAATAGTTCTGCTATGTATGGAAATGTCGAGGAAGATATTTTTATAAAGTAGTGAGATTATAATAACAAAAATATATGAAGTGAATTTATTCAAAATAATATAAAATTATTGATCCAGCAACAATATTGTGGTGTTGGGCTGGCAAATGTAGTGGTGTTAGGGAACCATTGTCGAGGCATTAAATGCTATGTTCTACAATAAATTTGGGATCGACATGCAGCGCAGCAGTGGTGGGTGGTTCAGCTCCACAGCAGTATTGTATTGAATCATTTTTTTAAATATATTTAATATAAATATCCCTTACCACCTTGTCATTCCTCTCCTTTACTCCATTTGATTGTTGGGGAAGAAAGAAAGGAGAAGGAGAAGGGAAGTAAGACATGAGAGGAGAGAGAAAGCTCTTTAGGGCTTCTTTGTCCATCTTCATATTAAGAAAATTATTCTGATCATTATAAGTGACCTTTACTCTATTTTTGATTTCAATGATTCTGAATTTAGTATATTTCTCCATCTTAAATTTGGTAAAAATATAATATCTTTCGTTTTAGAGAACTTTCAACTTTTTTTTTTTTGGTATGTTATATATACAATTATTTTGAACCTTTTGACTAGCTTATATTGAGATTTCACCAGATAACCTGATAGTTATGATTATTCAAAGATAATGAATAATATATATATTATCATGCATTTCATAGATCATTACATTTCATGATGATATTGATGCATAAAAAAAATGATATGATTAAGACATGATATATAAATGTAGCATTTGCATGCAAGTAAGAAAAGTTGTTGTCAACATTATAATTAATACAAGTTAAACTGTTAAAACATAATACTCTCTACAATAGGGCGGGCCGATGGTTTTTCATTTAAAATAAAAATTTATAGTGTAATCCTGAAAGCAAGCCTATAACCAATTGATTGATTACTTCGATGTATTTAGAGTGATGTCTCTTCATTTATTATTGAAAGCGAATAAACATAAATTGTGGATTACTTTAGTTATGTTAAATTCTATTCATGCAGAACTGTAATGTGTTACCTTAAACTTGAGAGACAGTCAAACCTCTACTATTTCCTTAGAGAATGCATTGGTCAATTATGGCTCAACTCTTCTAAGTTGTTGAGCAGATGGGTTGTATTCTTCATCACGCTTCATTTCATGAGTGGGATTTGTGAGAGGTGTTAAGATTAGTGCCTTACTGTTAGGCTCCTACGGTAAGGTGTCGAGTCAGATGACCCTTTAGGGGTGCTCACCCTCCATGAGCACCAAGGTAGCCATCTTAGGGCTTGGATCATTTTTGTCAACCTCTCATCTTATAATATTTGGACTGTTTGTACTCAGCTTTCTACTAAATCACTCGTGCTTTAATACTTACTACAGGTTCGTTTTGAGGAACAAACCGTAAGATGTGTATATATGATTGGAATAGCAAGGCATATTTATTAAACATTATTATTATTATTATTATTATTTAAAAATATTTAATTTTAGATCCTAAGGGGGAAAAATAATTTATATGGGAGAGACACGTGCTTTAATTAATGTTTTGATGTGTTGGTGAAGATTCCGAAAGGAAAAAAAGAAATTGTTTTTGGGGGCGTCCACCACATATCCACACTGAAAAACACGTGCTAATACTGAAAGTCCGACTTTGGCATTCAACACGTGTTGTTTGGTCTTACGCGTATCCACAGACCCGCTTTTACTCCAATTAATTAACCCACGCGTTCTTTAGTTGTTATATTCGATCTCTATTTCCTTCCTTGTTTATTTCTTTCTTTCTATTTATATAAATAAACTCAAGCTGCTGGCAGCAGGCAACTGCTCAAATTATAAGTTTCTTCTTCATTTCTAAGCCTCCCTTCTCCTTCTCCTTCTTCTTCTCCTTCTCCTTCTCCTCATGGATGACATGGATGCCGACTACGACAACTACTGGGATACCAAGTTGTTCTGGGACGGTGAAGAGCTGAATAGGTAGTAATTAAGAACGCTAATGATTTCGTTCTCTCTCTCTCTCTCTCTCTCTCTCTCTGTGAGTGTGTGTGGCCCGCCCCTGCAAGTACTTCCACGTCCTTAATTCGCTTTCCCTTCATTTGAGGAGCATGCATCTGTTATTCAAAAAAAAAAAAAAAAAAAAAAAAAAAAACATTTGCTATTCTTCAGGGTGTTTCCCGGCCCATTGAATATTCTCTTGGAAAGGGACCTCTCACTCCACCAAAAGTCTGCTGCTTCCTTTTCCAACTGAACCATCAACGGAACTAACTTCTTTTTCTATTTCTTTAGGAAACTTGAATGCGAACGTATATGTTTAACGCAAATTAAAGATACGCAATATCGCAAAATCTGAACAACAATATCTCTGACTTAATTTTATCAACTAAATTAATTAACCCGGCCCCAAGGTTGTAGTATAATTTTCTAGCGGTATACCTTTAATTAATTTCCCTTAATTCCCTCTGTTTGTGCAGAGGAAGCAGGGACAGGGGAGGCTGTCCTTTGTAGTAGAGTAATTGCCGTACTGTTTTCTTGGAAATGATTAATTTTATCGGATCTTCTTCTGCTTCATCTGTTATTCTCGATCATTTTAAATACTTAATAATCAAGTTGTAACATTGAACATTAATCAATCAGCTGGGGTGGACTTGATGAACCTTTCTCCTCCTATGATTCGAGCTCGCCGGAATGCGCCATCTCCCCCACCTCCTCCTCCTCTGCTGCAGCAAAGAACATAGTCATGGAGAGGAATCGTCGCAAGAAGCTCAATGACAGGCTCTACGCTCTTCGCAGCGTTGTTCCAAATATCACCAAGGTGTCTCTAAATCTCTAAAAAAAAACTTCATGAAATATATGAATGGATTATATGCATTATGATCTTAATCTCTCTGTTTATTTACTTGAAGATGGATAAGGCGTCGATTGTTAAAGACGCGATTGAGTACATCCAACAGCTACAGAGAGAGGAGAAGCAGTTGCTGGAAGAGGTTGGAGAGATGGAGTCCGGCCATAGAGAGGGAAAGATGAGTTCCTCCATTAATGATGAAATTGCGAGAGAGAATGAGATGATTAGCCCAAGGAAGAAGAGGAAGATGTCACCATGCTCACCTGGCGGAGGACAATCAATTGAAGCCTTGGAGGTAGGTAGCTAGTAATTTGTTTAATTTTAAGAATTATTAATTTGTAAATTATATATTTAATTAGCTTGATGATCGATGATTGAGCAGCTGAGCGTGTGTGAGGTTGGAGAAAGGACATTGGTTGTAAGCATAAGTTGCAACAAGAAGAGACACACGATGATGAAAGTTTGTGAGATTTTTGAGTCTCTGAACCTCAGGATCATCACTGCCAGCTTCACCTCTGTCTCCGGGACCCTCCTTCACACTCTCTTCATCGAGGTATATATTTATATTCGCCTAATTAATTACTAACCATCATTTCTAAAATAATACTTACTTAATTTTCTAATTAAGTTTAATTAGGGTTTAGGTCATTAATTATCGGCCCTCCGCTTATCACATCTTGGATTTTAAGCACGAGTTTTTCATGCCTTCCAAGTCTTAATTTTCTCTTAGTAAGTCTTAGGATTTAGCACTAACGAACTCGCCCTTTTAACCTACTACGAGGGAGGGAGCGGCTTTTCTTTCTTTTTAATCACGTGCTTGTTTTAATTAATTAATTTTTTTAATTTTAGTAAATAAAGTAAATCTATATATATTTTATTCATATTAATAAAATATATATCAATCAATCAAAATTAATTTATAGTATACTATTTTTAAATAATGATTTTAAAATTTTAATTGAGTTTAATTAGATAAGAAGAGTATATATATATATATATATTTTTAAATTGTGTGTGAAAAGTATCAAATTATTCATTTGAAGTAGAAACAAAGGATCTTTATCAACTGACGACTGACGACTGACGAGAGTATGAAAAGTTGACATAATTCGTCACGTTTCTTCTGTTGGTCTAAAATCAAAGGATTTTTATAAAAGTGCACGAAACATGCGTGCTTAATTGTTTGCTCGACTCCAGCTCGTTCTCATTTGAAAGAGACATCATAGTTTGGAATTTAAATCTTCTCTCTCTCTCTTTCTCTCTCTCTCTCTCTCTCTCTTGTTTTATTGTTTTAATCACTGAAAATTCTACAAAGAACAAAAAGCATCTGTTGAAGAACAAAATTATCCTCTTTTAGTGCTTTCAAACTCAGAACAGATGTTTCTATTATATGCAGACTGATGAGGGAACCAATGGTGAGGCCTTGAAGGAAAAGATAGAAATGGCTATTGCTGAAATGAATGTTCCAAGAAGTCCAGTGAGCTGCGTGAGCCTTTGAATAATCACTTTTATATAATCTATACAGCGCTTCTTCAGATAATTCATTATGAAGACGTACACCCTTTCAAGGTCTACTTGCATGTCTTTCTAGTATAATATGCACAAATATAAGCTAGCATTATTAATTGTCTCTTCGACGACCCAAATTAAGCAGATGCAATGATCGATGCATGTATCCAAATGGTTCTGTTTGCAATAATGAAGGCACAAATATTTGTTTTGTTGTTGTTTTGTTGTCGGAATGAACCTTTTGTAAATTATGATTCATTGATGATTCGTCGCTGAGTTGGGCAAAATCATAAATTAATTTCCTTTGTTTTCATGTTGTTCCAATTTTACTTCATAAATCTGCTTCAATTTATTTTCTTCAGAGAATTTGAGGTGGGAGTCCCATAAATTAGTATTAAAAATTAAATATAATATATGCATGAGAAGAGTTTGTGACAACATCAAATGGATGGAGAACATTTATATTGCATGTGGTCTTTAAGTCAGATAAAAACATCAAATGGTGACAATATGAAATAGGTCAACACAATCCAATTAATGAATTAAGAAATTAACATCCAACAATCAAAGGTGCCAGATACAAGAGGGTTTTTTTGTTTGTCTAAATCCCAATCAAAATATAGGTGTGATCGAGGGGCACTTGATCATCATAAACAAGTAATAAGGACTTTGATGCAACTACCTAAGTGGGCCCTAAGACCTCTTTTATCACCTATAGGAGAAGAGGCTTTGGGGGGAATTTTTTGAGAAATAAGTAAGGAGCACTTAGTAGAGGATTTTGGGTTTTTTAAGGTTGGAGCTTGTTGAGAGTTTGGGTTTATGCCAAATTTGTTTTTACAGTAGTTTTTGTTAGTTTTTTGGTTTCCTAGTGATTGCTAGGAAATTTGGTAGAGGCGATACAATCAACTTCTCTTACTTGCTTGTTTCCAAGCTTTCCTTCTTCATCTCCTTTGTCTTTTATTCACAACTCAATGAACTCATGTTGTATTCCATTGCCTTATTTTGGAGGATTTAGGTGGTGGCATGAATTAGAGTCATATCTCTAAACTTACATATCATTTTAGATTAACTCAAATTTCAACAACATACAACTAAGCCTATACACTTTTATTCACAACTCAATGAACTCATGTTGTATTCCATTGTCTTTTATTTTGGAGGATTTAGGTGGTGGCATGAATTATAGTCATACAACTAAGCCTATACACTAAGGAATTTTATATGTTTTTTCATTGACAGATGCATTATTGAGATTTAAGATCTTAACATATTCAATATTAAATTCTTAATTTAATTTTGTAATATAGTATAATCGAGAAATATATAAGTTGCATCCTAGAATATTCACGGCAGTAGAGAAATATAAAGTTTTAGCTTTCTCGCTTTGTACGAAGATCTAGCACACAAACATATGAAAGATAGGGGTGTAGCATTCATAAGGAACACTAGAGTTTTTATGTGGAAAACCTTGAAAAGGGGAAAACCCACGAGGCCTAGCCTAATTTGAATGAATCCACTAGTGTTTGCAGTTGATTACAAATTAGGCCCTTTCTTACAAGGCCTGACTCGATGTAGCCAATATACATTATATAGAATGCATTAAATGATGGGGGTTGGAAGAATCAGTGTTAACATGGTTGTTAGGTTAACAAGACCATAGTTGGTGAGTGATGCCGGTCAGAAGGATCGTGATCGAGCGACGGCGATCTGAAGGACCGTAATCGGGTGACAACGATTAGAAGGACCTTAGTTGACAAGCGACGGAGGTCGGAAAGACAGTAGTTCGATGATGGTGGTCCGAAGGACTGTATTTAGTGGGCAACTTAGGCCGTAAAGACCATAGTCAGGTGATGGCGGTTGAAATGAATGTAGTTGTCAGGAGATGAAGATCAGAAAGACAGTAGTCAAGTGACGTAGATCGGAATGACCGTAGTTTGATGTCGACAGTCAAGGAGACGGTAAACAGGTGACGGTGGTCAGAAGGACCATAGTCGGCAGAAGATGGTGGTTGGAAAGACCATAGTCGAGTGATAGCTAGCGGTCGGAAGGACTATAGTCGGCTAGCGATGAAGGTTGGAAAGTACATAGTCAATTGACGGAGGTTGAAAGGATCATAGTCGGGCAATGACAGTCGCCGAGACTGTAGTCAGGTAACGGTGATCAGAAGGAGCATATTTGGTGGGCAACGGAGGTCGAAAAGACCATAGTTAAACAACGGTTGATGGCCTTGCATATGTCCAGTGAAGGTTGGTGGCTAGGTGTAAATCCGGTGTTAGTTGGTTATCGGGCGGAAGTCCAGCGATATTCAATGGCCAGGCACAAGTATGGCGAAAGTCCGATGACGATGGGTGGTCGGGCGATGGTTGAGGAGGGGTCTAGTGGAAAGAGAACTCTAATTTCTCTTCCCTTCCTCTCTTTTTTATATTGCTTCATTCTCCCCACTTAGTGAAGAATGAGGGGTCTATTTATAATTTTCTATGAGTGGCATGGCAAGTAAATAAAGAGAAAATCAATGGCATGTTGGGAGTTGTTTGAATTGACAGCCAATATCGATTCCCTTGATCATGGACTGTTTATTAAATATTTAAGTGCTTTAATGATGTTAGTATTCAATGATCTTGGACTTGTTCAATTCATCTCGTCGAGCCACTCGATTCAATTATAAGCATGTCACGTTTAGATGTCATTTGGTCATCCAATTTATGCTTTGAACCTTCTAAATGTGCTTCATGTCTTTGATTTGGACTCATTTGGGCTTGGATTAGGTTAAATTTGGTGTCTTGGGCCCGTCTTTTTGTGACTTTCAGTTCGATTATAAGTTTGTTGAAATCAGAGTTAGGATGGCCCCAAATTTAATTTTGGAAGTTTTCAATATGAATGTGCCTCGAGATTTGTGGTCGATCATAAAAATTATTTGATGATATATCAAGATAAAATTCATAATTACATTTTAATGAAAAATAACAAAATATATAAATAAAAAATTTTTAGAGAGAAATAGATTCTAAGCTTACGTATGTAATGTGTGTGTCTTAATTGATCAATTGGTAAAAAAAAAACTCATCAACAACAACAACATCAAGCCTTTATCCCACTACCTGGGGTCGGCTACATGAATCCTTTTTCTCCATTGTGTCATGTTAAAAGTCAAATTCTTGTTTAAATCTAATAAAGAAAGATCATTTCTAATATTTTCTAACCAAGTCTTTTTAGGTCTATCTCTACCTTTCTTAACATAAGTCAAATCTTATACCTCTACTTTCCTAACCGGGTCATCGGAAAGCCGTCGTTTTATGTGACTAAACCATCTAAGGCGACTCTCTCTAATCTTATCTTTCACTGAGCTACTCCAACCTTTTCACGTATATGCTTATTTCGTATCCTCTCTCTAAGGGTAAAATCACTCATCCACCTGGGCATCCTCATCTCTGCATCACTTAACTTAGTATTATGCTTTTATTTTAATGGCCAACATTCGGCACCATAAAGCATTTCAGGTCTCACCGCCATCTTATAGAATGTTTCCTTAAGTTTGAGAGAAACTTTTCTATCACACAACAAGCCCGATGTATAAGAATAAAAAATCAATATATTTCCAAATAATCGATGTAAGCAAGGCTCACTAGCTGACCTCAAATGGCTGGGAAACTAATAAAGATTGTTGACATTAGAAACAAAACAAATTACAGGCAAAAAGTAATCATGAAGAAGTTCATGATGCTAGTTATAGTATTTATTTCAGTATGTGTGCCATTATGTTAAGATCTCTCGATCAAATTGAGTCCATCAAGTCTAGCTCTGCAGGCTATATTCTTCAAACCGACCATGCTTGATTCAAATTGTATTAAGTTAATAATCGGACATCAAGAAGTTAAAACAAATGTTTGTAGGCTTCTCACCTTGATGATGGATTTAATTATTAGAATATAATAACCAAAGGAGTTTAACAAAATCATTAAAACTCAATATAAATCAAGCAAAGAAAATGAAGACTCTCAAGTCCTCCAATAATGATTGGAAAGTTATTTGGTCATGACCATGTTAATGACTAAGATTGTTAGATTATGGCTAGAGGGTTCAAAAAACATGCACACTTCAAATGTTCAAAATGGAATCCAAGGGTCACAATGTGATCACTTTGTGAATGGAGAAAGTAACAGAGCAAAGTGATTCCTGACTTTGAATCGCCCATCTAATTTATCTTCATCTAGAACTGTATAATTTAAGTAAAGGTTACATCCTTTTATTTTGTGTCAAATGTTGTATTGAATTGAAGCAATGAAAGTCTTGAACTTCTCTATTAATAAGCTTGAATTATTTCTCTGTTCTATTTTTCTTCTTCAGCAACATTTTGTCCATAAAATCTACTTTTCTCTACTTTCGAGTAGGTCCTTAATTACTTCTTTCTCCTTTGTTAGAACTTTTGAATGTGGATGATGAGGTTGACTTGGATGTAGTAGAAGATGATGGGCCTAATCCCGATGCAGCGAAGTTATTTGAGAACAGTGGGTGGTCTGTTCGAACAAGGTGGGATTTTCTTTGTTATAATTTGTATGCAGTCCCCATTGAACTGACTGATTGCAGAAGGTTGCAGCATTCGGCTGTGAACTTACTGATTGTTTTTAAACTTTCTATCTTGTACTGAATTGTTTTGCAGGGGCGTTGCTAAATATCTAAAGAACTTGTTTTATGAAGAATCTGTGCGTGGAAGAAAAACTGTTGCAGTGGACCGTCTTTTATTTGGTAAAACTCGCAAAGAAGCATCAAGAATGTTCTTCGAAACCCTGGTATGCCTCTGGTTATTTTTCCTCAACAAGTATTTGTTTGCATCAATCATAATTTGATGTCACACTTCTTAAAAGTGCTGCTGACAGGAAAAACAGAATAACTTAAATTGATTCAGACAAAAGTCTAATGGGCCGTTTAGGATCACTTTTTATTTTTTCTATTTCATTTTTTTTTTTATATATATATATATATATATATATATTTGATATTTTGATTATTAGATTTGTTTTCACTAATATTATTATTGATAAAAAAAAATAGAAAGGTCTGGTGTTGTTATATAAAAGATAAACGAAAGAATTATTATAATTTAGATTTTGGGAAATAATAAATTGGTATCAGAGCATACTTGTTAGAAGAATTGAATTATATACCAGAGCTGTATGAATTAATTATAAGTCGAGTAGATTGTATAGACTAAGGTGCATTATTTTGCATACACAATTGATTAAATATATGAATTATTTAGATCAGACAGAATTGTGAAAGAGTGAACAGTTGAAATAAATATACCAAAGCAAGATGTATCAAAAGAGCAACAAAATATAGCTCCAGTGCCGTCAGATAATATTATCAAATTGCTCATGGTTATAGCACAGGTAATGGGGTGATACACAGAACAAGTCATCTACGAGCAAAGAAGAAGAGTGGGATAAACATTTATAGATATTTCATAAATCGAAGCCCCCATTATTCAAAGGAACTATAGGATCCAAACTTATAGAAGACCATCTACTAAGCATAAAGAAGATCTTTGACAGCATGTAGTGTTCAAAAACTAGAAAAGTATCATTAGCTATTTTTATTTTTGAATGAGAGACTGAGAGATGGTGGATTAGATAGAAAAGACATGTTTCAGGGGAAAACTAATGCAAAGATTACTTGGGATGTATTCAGTTTGGTGTTTAGGATATGGTTAGTACCTCCTTCAGTCCAATGATAGGTGCAGGAAGCTTTCATTAAACTCAAACAGGGATGCAAGATAATGATGTAGTGTGAAATTGAGTTTATCATTGGCTAGGTATGCTCCTCACTTGATCCCTACTGATGAAGGGCAGTGGTATAGATTCCAAGAAGGGGTGATCAGGGAGTTGAGACATCTGTTAGCGTCTAATAGTATGTATTTTAACCTAGTCAAATAATTTTTTTTCTAAAGTCAATATAAATCCAAATCATAAACCGTCTTTGATATAGCATTAATATTATAGTAATTTAATTGCATAATTTTTATTTTTATTTTTATTTTTTGGGCATTGATGAAAATATTTAAGAAATTGACACTTACCGATATAATTGAAGATTTTGAGACTAGCATGCGTCCATTTTCAAATCAATTTCAACATATCTTTTTTAAATAAAATGAACTATTTTATAGATATATTTTTATAGTTTTTGAAGTCATAAAATTTATATAAATTTTATACTAAAAATTTATTTAATTAAATAATTATATTTACATTATATTATATTATATTAAAATATCTGTTGTCATTAGTTTATTAAATTATTACAAATCCTTTATTGCCTTCATTTGAGCTAAACAAAGAAGGCTTAGGGAGAATTTAGAGAGAAAGAGAAGAGAGAGAGGAAATCCTTGGATTTGTAGGTCATGAAGCAATTTTTGACGGTCGAGCCTGTTCAAAAATTTACTCGTCTCACTGTAAAGAACCTTTATCTTATTTTTTATTTCAATAATTTTATATTTTTTGTATTTTTCTGATCAAATTTGTATTTCGTTACTGAAAAAAAGAGAATAATTTTGTATTGATACAATTTTTGCCGCGTAACTTTTTATATGTTACAGAGATCAAAATTATGAACATTTTGAGTATTAATTTAAATTTTTTGCCAAATTATTTTTTTTTTTTAAATAGTGATTTTTACTATGCAACAATTTATTTTTCCCTCCCAAAAAATGTTTTAGTTCAAGTAAAGCTTCATAATGATGTTTTACAAAATCTCTAATAATTTGTTAATTTCTTAAAATGTAAATTTTTACTAAGTAGGTTTTTGTTGTTTGCCATTATGACATTTTAACATTTTCTAAATTAAGCTTAAGTCTGTGTTTTTTATTACAATGCATTGAAAATGAGTGCGGATAATTATATATGGGGGGAAACAAGTAAAAATTGGTTATTCAGTGTCGTTAACTAGAGATTGATTGACTTGTACAAGATGGTGGGTCAACGAATTTTTCTTTAAATATTATGGTTGAGTGTTATCATTTACAAATTCATGTGATACACTTATTAAGAGCTATAATGCGTTGATTACTCTGCTGACGGGTAAAGAGTGACGACACTTTTTAAGGTTACTATCACTGATACTGAAAAAATACCGCTATGACAAGGGCTTTACTTGTTTAATATGATTATTAAAATGCATGCTACTGAATCAGTATCACTGTATGGCTTTACAGTTACTTTAAGCCATTATATATGTTGATGTTATTACTATTATACTATTATTAATATAATGGTTACATGATATATATTGAGTATGTACACTAGACATTGACACTTAGTTGATATTGATATGATATTTCTGAGCATGTGATACATAAATATAATTAATTTTATATGATTTTATTGCGTTAATGTAATTTTGACAATCTTTACTAATGTTTTGATATGATACTTTATACAACATATGTACTGATTAAAGTATTGATATGACAATTGCTTTAATGATTCGACACATATACTACTTTATTGATTTTTCTATTTATTGTCTATGATCATGTGAATGCTAATGTTATGATTCGACTGTTACATGTATATTTCTCCTTTACCTTGTGTTGAATTCAGTTGTATGTTTTGGTGACCTGTTGAGTTTTTAAGCTCATTATATGTGGTTAGTTATTTTTAGGCCATGATAGAGGATTATGTATGTGAAATTGATCAGATTAGGATTTCTCATATTCTATTTCTTTTTGTTTTAGTTATTCTATTGTACTTAGAAATAAGTAGTGTAGTATGATTATATAGATCTTGAATAGTGCGTGTGAGTATATATATATTGATATTTTGATTGATAATTTAATTTCTATTGCTATTAGGTTGCTATGGTTATGTAAATTAAAAGAAAAAATAATTCTTCAAATTTAAATTCTAGGGCATCATAATTGGTTTCAAAGCATTATTGTTGGAAGAATTAATTTATTTCCAGACCTGTAAGAATTTATTAAGAGTTAGGCAGAATTGGTATTTTATGGTGCATTATTTTGTATACATAGTTGATATCATGTGTGTATTAATTAGATCACACTAAACTGTATAGGTGAACATTTGAATGGATCAGCCAAAATCATATGTACCAAATGAGCAACATAGTGTAGCTTCAATGCCATCCGATATTGTGATGCAGTTGGCTAATGTTATAACACAGGTAATGGGAGATGCACAGAGTAAATCAGTTGGGAGTAAAGAAGAAGATGGGGATAAGCACTTACAAACATTCAATAAGTTAAAGCCTATGTTGTTCAAAGAAGTTGTAGGACTTCAGGCTGTAGAAGACTAGTTATTGAGGATAGAAAATATATTTGATAGCATATAGTGTCCGAAGAGCCAGAATGTATCATTAGTTATGTTCATATTTGAAGGAGAGGCAGAGAGATGGTGGGTTGGACAACAGAGAAAAATTCCAGGGGAAGACTAAGGTTGAGATCACTTTGGATGAATTTACTATTGTGTTCAGGATGTGGTTTGTACCTTCATCAGCTCGACGACATATGTAGGAAGCTTTCATTAAGTTGGATCAAGTACACAAGATAGTGATGCAGTATGAGGCTGAGTTAAATACTCTTACTAGGTATGCTCCTCATTTGATCCCTAATGTGGACAAATTAAATGTGTGAATGTTGCCACTTGATTTAATTTAATATTTATTTAGACAAATTGGTATAATTAGTGTTAATTATCCCAAAGAATAAACTAACACTGGTATTATCGATTTGAGAAAAAATAAATTTATTTTTATGTTTAAACTCGACGTAGTAGATGCAAGAATTACCCGGAGCATAAAATTTACATTCACCTATCGTTTCAAATACGAAATTAACCAAAGATAGGCTTGATCGACGTCTAGAGAATTTTCCCCTCTTAAGAAGCTAAGTAGTAAGCAAAGAGAGGGTTTATTTTATATTAGGATCTTGGGTTCCTACAGAGGCAAGCCCTTATAATCAATTGCATCTCCGAAGAGAAAACTTTCGATTAAGTGGAGATTAGACTCTAAACATATAATAAATCGTATATAAGCAAGTTGCCTTATATGCTTGAAAATATCAATTGTCCCTTCCAGAATATTGTTAAATTTTATGGAAAATATATTTGAATTTACATATATATGTATTTATTATTTATTAGGATATGAGGTGTGCAAATACATTTAGGCTTATGCTTGTTGGAATGAGCAGCTAATAATCAATTTCACAAAAAATCGTCCTAAATGAAATATAGGATATAGGTAGCTTTATCCTAAGAGTTCAAAGGAGTAAATCATATTCCAAATTAGTGATTCAAGATTAATCTTCATTTTAAGTTTAAGAGACACTATCAAAAAGACTCACTAAGAACTCTAACTTTTTATCTTATCTAACTAACATAACTAAATTTTCTAACCATCAAAATTTTGAAGAAATTTTCGCAACATAACAACCCTATATTAACAGGAATAATACAACATTCTTCGGACACAAGACGACCCCACTACCTTATCATACATTGAAAAAAAAATAAAAAGGAAGAATATATCCATATCAAGGTAAAGATTTTCGTGTATACAATACCCAGTACTATATCATCCTAAAACTAGTATATGTGTTCCTACAAAGTTTGGAACACATATCGAGAAAAACGTAAAAAAATTCTACCACTTAATGCAATCTATCGCCCATATGATGCAATGTATATATGCAATATAAATAAAAGAGAGCTCTGGTAACATAAAAGAAATTTTATTCATTGATTTATTTTGAAATTTATGAGACTCAGACTGTGCTTAAAAGAAATGTGGTTTGGCTCCACCACAACAAACCTATGTTCTAACCTACCATATATATAGAATCAGATACACCTGCTTAGTATCCTTCAAGCACCAAGTCTTATGTGGAATTCCTAAAGAGATTATTCCCTAAAGGAAAATATATCATCTTTTGGAACCCCGCCTGTATATATATAAGCAGGTATATATGATTCTTTACAACTTTGGACATTCTACAACTCAATCAGTAATGGTATCATTAACAGTGATCTATACCAGTAATAATGATCAATGTCAGTTAAAATATTAGTAACAATATTGACAGTAAACAACATCAGTATAATGCAAGCTATATTATCAGTATTAGTAATGAGTAATTGATCAGTAATCAGTATCAATAGTTAGTACTCAGTATCTATCAGATATTCAAATGAGGGTACTTGAGCTTGATCTTGCTTCTGCCCTCATGACTCCCGATTAGTCGCCCCTTATAACTCCCAATCAATAAACTTTTCATAACTCTCCTTGAATCACGTGAATCAGCACCCCGACTCTTTATGACTCTATGAGTCTCTAACTACTTATGATTCCCATCCACCGACTAATGTTAATGGACCACGTGGATCTTAAGAATATCACATGAGATTATCATATTGGTTATCTGTTATCAATTAGTATATTATTTTCCATAAGATCAGTATCAATACCGTACATCCCTTCAATTAGATCGGTATTACATTCCAGTATATATCAATCTTAACAATCATTTCAGCACATATTATATTTCAGTATTATCATGTCAATCACAGCACTTCCAGCCCATTTTCAGTATGCTTTTTTCCTACTCATTTTATCCAGGAATTCCTCTACATATTTAATTGGTGAAAATACAATAAAATCATATTAAATCATTCAAAATGATTAAATTTATAACACATCAAAAGTTAAAAGCTTATGAAATCAGAAGATAATGTATTTTTTATCAAAATTATGAGAGATAAATTCGTAGAAATCAAAATCATCAAAAATAGAAGTAAGAGAATAGTTACTCATAACGCTTAGAATAATTTTTGTTAAAGGAACAGCGAACAAAAATGAATAGAAATGGGATTTCTCTCTCCTCTTCGTTTTCCTTCTCTCCCTCTTCTTCTCACATTTCTTCTCGGCTAAGCAAGAGAGTAAGGGAGTGAGGGAGGCGGTGCAAGAATATTTATAACAAAATATATTAAAAAATACTATTAGTGGCCTAGCGCGGTAGTGCTCAGACCCAGCACTATATGTTGAATTTAGAGTTACTGTAGAACACGGACGTCAATGCTACAATGACAATTTTTGGCATCGTTGTGCTCTAAAACCTAGCGATGCAATGCTCACCAGCATAGCATCATAGTGCTTTAATTCAATTCAGTTTTAATTTTTTTAACGCATTTCATATTTTCTGGTTATTATAGGGGTTTCATATTTTTAGTATGACTCCAAGTGGGGCATCTTAAGCTTATTGGCAACCTCGCTTCTGCAATCTCCCTAAAGAACGTGTTGATAAAGCATGATTCCCTCATTCACTTGGGTGAGGGAGTAGATTCCTCATTGATGGTGTGGCGTGGATCTCATCTGCAACAAGAGTTGAAGCTAACAGCCTAGCATTAGATCATAATCTTCGAATTATCAAGTTCAAAGATCCTTCTAGTGTATTCTCCATGGGACCTCCCTCTGGACTCGTTTAAATGCTCATTAGATCATTCTCATGAATCTTTCCTCCATCTCCATTAAATCACAACGGATTGTAAAATTTTGATTCATGTTCACCAACCTCCCTTAATCATGTTTCCCTACTTAATGTAGTGCTCAACATTTGGTCGCTTGCATTAATCCGTACTCACCACACCTAATTGAATGTTGAATCTAATTTTATTCAAGAGCATTACCTTAACTTTACTAACGAGTATAACTAGACAAACTAAGCAAAGGGTCAAGGAAAAAGATAAGGGGTGATTTAGGAGTATAGCTATATAATTCACTAATCTTTGTAAATAGTAAAAATAACATTAAAAAAATCTCATAAATGCCTTTTTACCTCTTATTTATAAAGATGGATGGTAAGATTACGTGAGAGACTACACCTTAAAAAAATATATACATGACTTGATTATTATAGACACATGAATATGACTACATATAAATAACAATATATGGCATTGTCATGAATATTTCCTCTGCCTCCATTAAATCACAATGGATTATAAAATTTTGGTTCTTCATGTTCACCAACCTCCCTTAATCCTATTTCCTTGCTTAAGTTAGTGCTCAGCTTTAAGTCAGTTGCATCAATCCGTACTGATCACAATTAAGTGAATGTTGGATCAAATTTTATTCATGAGCAATATCTTGACTTTACTAACGAGTATAACTAAACAAACTAAGCAAAGGGTCAAGGACAAAGAATATGGGTGATTTCAGAGTATAACTCTATTATTCACTAATCTTTGTAAATAATAAAAATAAAACAAAAAACCCCCAAAATACCTTTTAAGCTCTTATTTATAGAGATGGTAGGGTTGCACGAGAGACTAGACCTAATAAATTAATAAAATATACATGAGTTGATTATTATGGGCACGTGAATAGAATTTAGTGGCTACATATGAATAGCCATATCTGATATAGCTATGATTGCCTTTGACAATTAGTTATGATTGATAGTTCTGATTAGTGCTATGACAGGCGGCTCTAGCGAGGTTGGTGAGGTCATTATTGTGAGGCTGGTAGATGTGCATTTTTTGTAATTTGATTGAAGAACCCTCTAAGCAGGGTGAGTCGCTCTCTTGGGTCAATTCCTCATTAAATCGAAACTTATTAAGGGAAGTTTCTCAGCAAAGATGTCTAAGATGTACTTAATCAAGCACTCATGGGTCAAGCTCTGCTAGGGCAAGTGCCACCCTTATTAGATCTTGTTAGAACAAGTCCTCCTTTAAGCAGGGCACATCTTTGAGCCCTTTGACCATTGCTCTTCTTGGCCAAGCTTCTCTGAGGCAAGAATGACCGATCCTTACAAGTTGTAAAGCATATTGAAATGTACAAAAGTTACATGTAAGTACTTCAAAATTGAGAGCAGATTCCTCCAAAATAATAAATCTAATTATTAAAAATATATTGTTCTGCGAATGATAGCATAAATAAATTAGTGGAATTTATCAACTTGTGAATTTGTTTAGCGACTAAAGTATCAATCTAGCATCAATTTGACTGATTAATTATAGTAGGCAAGCTTCAATGTTCAGATTAACATAAATAATTAAAATAGGCAGGCATCATGTTAACAATGTCGTGCATATAATAAGTTATATTTGGAAGACTATATACAAATCAATGATATTACAACATAATTGCAATTAGCACTAGGAACCAATAAGTACTAGGAACAAAACTTGTTCTTTGGTGCTAATTAGACGAGGAAATTATCTATCAAATGCGAGACCACGTCAGCGCCGTCTGAGTTCAACCAGTAGCTCTTGACCTGAAACTTTAAGTGATTAATGAATGAATGAACTAATTATTACAAAATTTCGGTATAGCTTCTTGATTTAGGCATACAAAGTTATCTGATACAACAACATATTAGGAGTATAACCAAGATCTTAAAATTTCATAAAGGTTTCTAATAACTTGAAAAGGCATGACCAAGAAAAAGCAGAACACCCAACTTTCCAGATTTATACGTCTTCTAGCAGCCTACCAGTGCTCGGCTTCTCTTGTTAGCAAGTATGTCACAGCAGTAGTTTTCTTTTTCAACTAGACAATCAATTCCCTTGAATGCCTTCTCAACTTGTAGGCGCCACTTCTTGTCTTCCAAGTGATTAATTGTCCCTAAGAAGCCTAATAATTTCTATCATTAGTATCCTACCTTATTATAACTAGTTTGATTTGGTGCACCTTTAGTAGTTTTCATGAACAGTGCAAGTGATTGCGCCTTGGAACTAATCTAATCAGCAATGCAGTAGCATTGATAGGAGCAGTCATCCATAGTAATGATTTGTGGTAGTCTCTCCTGATAATGTCCATAGTTTTTACAGGTCGAATCGAAATCCTATCAACTCCTGATGTCCAGACTTGCACTTTCGTTGGGTGCTTTACTTGCCTCATTGTTGGCTTCACTTCCTAGTTCTTCCATCCTGTATTAGAAGATCAAAGAAGTCTATACAAAGTACTATAGTATTTGTGGTAAATATTGTTCACCTCATTCTGCCCATTATCTCCAAAGCTGAACACTAGTTTAGGGATCTACAACTCTAAACTATGATATCAATTGTCATCCCACCTAATAACCAACTGATTCACACTGTGGATGGCTGACTAGAAACTTATAAGATATAACTTAATTTGGTTTGTGCCTTCAGTATCGTCATTCCACTTCCTTATGTTCACCATTGCTTTAGGAATTACCACGCCATGGCCTCATCTCAACTTAGTACGACAAGTTCAACTTAATTCCTTAGCCAATCCCAAGTTGTAAACTTCTAGCTTTTATTCAACCGAGAGAAAGATTACTCAGCCACTAGGACGACTACTACATGGAAGAGTTTTAAGTAAATAATACTATAGAAGTACTCATCAACAATATAGGGAACCAGAACTCAGATCATAAAGTCCTCACCAAATGAGGGCGAAATCTCTGGGTAGTGTCTTATCTACAAACCCATCTGCCTTCCAAAATTTACCTCGGAACTTAGTTCGTTAAAACTCCCTCGCCGAATAAGAAAAGCGAGCGGAGGCCGAGGCCGAATTTTCGGAGCCCACAATACTCAAGCATACTTGGCCACAAAAAACTAGTATAACACGGTAAAACTTCGATTAATCTAAGCCCAGCCTTCAACTTGCTGATCTTTGCCCATCTCGCCCATAATTAGCTCAATATGCATCGAGGGAAAAAGACTAACTTAAAACTTAGTCAATCAAACAATAAGACAGCCTATAATTTGCATACGTCTCATCCAAATCCATCAATTCAATGTTCATAAATATATCTTACTTGATTTACCATATTAGCACAATGCATCAATACTCCAAAGGTCACACTACCTACCAAAAAAATCCAAACACTTAAAGGGTCACATTACCCTATAAGGAAGGTCACATCGCCAAAAATAATATCCATTTCAACTGAAGGGTCACATTACCTATAATGAATGTCAAATTGCTCCCAAATATCATTTTTTTGTTAAGCAATCGCTTACTCACATTCAACACATTACATGCATTATATGAGAGCTATTAACTAACATAGATGAGCAAATTATTTCAATAACACGTCACGCAATACCATCACAAGTTATGGATCCACAAGTAGGAGATAATGGATGCAAATCAGACCACTTAGTGAGGGCCTTGGAGGTCTTGGGTTTGAATATCGCCTACATCATGATAAATCCTATTGTACAGACATTGGGGTAGACATAAAAAAAAGAAAGAAAACTACAATTAAGTTGTGATCCCGCATCTGAAGGTAGACGTGAAGATTTGGATGAGTCACCTATGTTTCAACCACACTCTCGACCTCAATTGCTTAATCATCAGTATAACTTTCATGACTCTTGCGAAATCAATAGAATAGCAACATCCCTCCCTAAGGAATCCAGTTTCTTAGGCTAAATGGTTCATCCAATGGCTAAGGCAATTGTAGGCGTCATTCATCCAGGTTTGCTAAGGTCCTTATCTCATATAGGACACATGACATTCTCTACTAGCACAACTTTATGCCATTATCAATAGCAATGAGGATCATTATATGACTCGTGCCACCTGCATATAACACAACTTTATTCTATTTTCAATATAAAAAAAGATAATTTCTAGAAGACAGTATATGAATGGATTATTAGAAAAGTTGATCCTCACAAATAAGCACAACCGATAATTGTTTGTTGATAGCTCTCGAGATCCATCTAAACATTATAACTAAGGATCTATCTACCAAAATATACTCAAATTTGCTCATTCATGAGTCAAGATACTAAAAAATAGTACTTGGAACCAACTAGAGCTGTCAATATTGGACCTGACCCGAAAACACGACCCGAATTTTCGGGTTTGGGTTGACCTGAACCCGAAGCAGGTCGGGTTCGGGTCCAAAAAACCGACCCGTTTGAAAAACCGCGTCGGGTTCGGGTTGACCTGGGAACCCTGGAATGACCCGAAATGACCCAGAATGGCCAGCGTGGCGTCACGTACGGCGTGGCGTTCTGAGGCCAGACTGGCCAGTGTGGCGTCACGTCCGGCGTCCTGCGTCCCGCAGTCGCGCGTCCTGCGATTCCTAGCGTCGAAGCGTCCCGCGAGTCCCGTCGCGTTGCGAAGCATCCTGAGGCCAGGCTGGCCAGCGTCGCGTCATGTGCGGCGTCCCGCGTCTCGCAGTCCGGCATCCTGCAGTCCCGGCGTCCCGCGAGTCCCGAGTCCTGCAAACCGCAGTCGCGCGAGTTCAGCGTCCGCGTTAGGTGTCGCATCCCGCGTGTCGGGTCGGGTTGACCCGAACCCGAAGCGGGTCGGGTTCGGGTCCAGAAAATCGACCCGTTTGCAAAAAACGAGTCGGGTCGACCCGAACCCGAATAGTGCCGGGTTAGTTTCGGGTTCAACCCGAACCCGATCCGTGACCCGAAATTGACACTCCTAGAACCAATGAAATACCGCATATTGATTACTTAATTATTCAAATACTCACGATCCAACTATTTGGCCAACTCCAAAGCTAGTAAGAATTACTTGGTCTAATCAATTTATGAAACAGAATGATGTAAGTCAGGTCTAATTGGCAAAGTACTTTAATAAGTTGATAATAAGTTAATCAAATAATTATTCAAACATAAAATTCAAAATACGAAAAAAATTAAAATAGTTGGCTCACAAACATTACAACAATATAAGAAGAATTCAACACTAGAAAGGCACCCACCCACTCAACATCAGTGCCATCAAAAGTGACCAACATCTTCATCCATCTAAGGTTCATACCTCAACTAAAGACAACCTAGACCCAATCGTAATTGGCATGGCTTATGAGGGCAAGGATGTGCCTCCCCCTAATTGGTGATATCCACAATTGAAAGAGTTCGTTCAGCCATCTCCGTAAGAATGACTTCTCCCACATTTGAGTACTCACCAAGGTCAATGAGACTCACCACAAGATTGCCACCTTGGAGGTTTCTCCAAAATGTAATTCCTCGAGGATCAAGAATTTTATGGGAGATCTTGAATCTATTTTACGGAGTCAGTGCAGGAAGAAATGAAGCAAATGATTCCTCGAGTATGGACATAACAATCAATTTGATATTTTAAGTATCCTAAACGATGGGTAACATTTACACGTCAAAGATCTTCACGCTACTGACATTGCAGCCAGCATGAAGAACATATAAGATTACGTACCATCCTTGGACCTCTCCTAGAAAATTCATTCTCCCAAGTAGATCTCCAATAATTCAAATCATGTTGATCCTTCCTGCATCCCTCTCCAACTCTTCAATTTCTTATTGAGCAATCATTCAATTCCCTGTTGAACATTCTCTCTCCAATTCTCTGATTCACCGTTGAACATTCTCTCTCCAATTCTTTATTTATTGTTGACATTCTTAGTTAAAATTCCAACTCTCCGCTCCAAGTCTCCTCAAGCTTCAATACTGGTGAACAAAGAAGGTGAAACAAAATTTTGTAGGTCAAGGAAGAGTAATGGAGCCTTCGTCCGTATCTCTCAGGACAAATGCATATAAGCTATCATCCAAAAAGGGATAACTTCAATATACAAGGCAAACTCTAGGCAACTGCAACAATAAAACAATCAGTTTTCAATTCACAATAAGCTGTTAATAAGACCTTCAGAAATATCACACCCCTGTTTCAGACAGAAAACTATTCGAGTACTTGCGCCAGAAAGCACAGATCCCCAAATAAGTTCTACAAACTTCATGTAACTTGGAAATTAACATAGATATGAAACTGCAGTGGAGGCAATGAGAAAAATTTTAAACTGGAGTGAATCTTCTTTTTGGGGTTTATCAATAATATCATGAAAGAAGACTCCGCCTGAGTGGAGACAATGAAATGTTAAAGAGAAATACAGTAGCATCAATCGATTCAAACAGGTAATCAAAGTTTTGAAGGACGACAAGACATTGCTCTATGAATTCTAGTTGAATCAGTATAAGTACTCACATACCATAAACTCAGATGTGCCATTAAATATTCCCTATTTTGATGCAATGAAAAATAATCTGAAGTATCAAATGGTATGAGAAATATAGGGAAGCAACTAGGATGATTTATTAATCAAATAATTAAATCCATATGAGCTTCTGAAGCTGAAATGTTAAAAACCTGGTAGTATACTTTTAAAAGAATGGGGAAAAATTCCTGGTTTTTATGAAAATTGAATGAAACAAGATAACCTTATAAACTAAAAATATTCCGAATACACTGAAACGAAGTCATACCTGTATGGTATTATGAGCAATATACCGTTGCCTGCTCTTCTGAAAACTAACATCCACACGCTCCCATGGTACTTGTGTAAGCCCTTGAATCATTGCCTCTGCAATCATCAGACATTATTTTCTAAACCAGTTAACATTCGACTGAGAAAACACTTGGGGCACAATTTTCTCGATGCAGAATTCCACAATTATTATATGGCCTTTAAGCTAACGTTGCATACAATAAGCAGAAGCATATGCTAAGATGACTGTAATATTACTACAATATTAAATTATTTATGTTTAAAAAGGAAATGACAATTTGAAAGATTTCAAATATGATATACCCATCATTCTTAGTGTAAAAGATATTCCGACTGCAATGATGCTATTATGTATAAGAATAGATAAATGCTTGTATTACCTTCCAAGTTGTACTTCTGAGCAAGAACATCAGATGATGCTTCTTCAGCAGTATTCTTGGTTTCCCCTTTGTCAACATGGACAATATGCGGATACCTCTCATCTTCCACAAGAAGATGATACTGAAAACACAGCAAGACACGAGATGGATATATAAAGGGGAAGATAAATTTCTACACATTCACAAAAATAAGAAGATTTTCAACAATAATTACTTTTGGTAACTCCTGTTGACGCCTGATAGAGGATGTTCGCCATCCTACCATATCTTATTGATCCATTAATGCAACGGAATGAATACAACACTTTAAATTAAACAGATGAAGATGAAAGCAAAATTATGGAAAAGGATACGATCATAATTTGCATTCGCATAGGCAACCCGACGCTTGAAAGAGCGTAGAGCTGACCTGCACTAGGCATTAAAGGAAAAAAGTTACCGATTTCCAATAGATAATGAATTATTGAGGATCTAAAATTTTCTCTTAAGTTGTAAATTCCGGAGCAATCACATCTTAATATGGTCTCATAAGCCATACATAAATTTTATATCTTCACCATCTTCAACCATGCGAAGCAGAAGAGGAGCCCTTCCATCATCATCAGTAAGGAAAAGGTGCTTCCCAGTTCTTCCAACGATCAAATGAGCAGCTTCAGATGCTCTTTGCTCCAAAAAAGGAAGCCCACATAGTAAAGGAAGCTGATGAAAAAGTTTGTAGTGGGACAGAAAAACATTAGAAACTTCTCAAAGAATGTGGCTATGAAATCCATTTAAATTGTAGAAGGGAGAAGTATATGATGAAGGATGTTTCATAATCTCAAATGGGTTCAAAAAACTAGATTAAATGATTCAGGCATGAAAACAAACAAATGCTAGAAAGTCCACTAACTCTAGTTCAGACGATATATTAATGAAAAAATATTGTCTTAAGAATATGAAATTGAAAGGACTGCAAGTCTTTACGATATAACACATATAACTGCCAGAACTCCCTTGCATTGTTGAACTTCTATCAAACTCTGGCAGCATGATGCAGTTTGTTACAACAAAGTATATATCCTTGACCATTTGGCTTCATATCTGGAATTATCTCGAGTACTAACAATCTAAATTATAATATTCAAGTACAAGTGAGGATAGATTCATAGTTTGAACTTCTAATAATGATGTCTTCACATTCAGTTTCAGTGACAAAACCAGAGATCCCACGAGATATAAACTAAAGAGCCACATAATTTGAAATGCATTGCTCTTTTCCTTCGAAACTTTTCATGCAGAGGATCAATGATGGTTCCAAATAATTTTGAAAGGATGATTGAGTCATATCACATAATATTGTCCTTCCCCCATGATATTTCCCCTTCATGAGTCACATTCGCCATTCCCCCAACAAGATCACATGTCTGTAAAGTAATCAAAATTCATCCACAAATATATATATATATATATATATATGATATATATATATATATGATAGCAAACCTAACCAATATAAAAAAAAAAACTAATGCTAAAATAAAAATAAAAGAATCATGAAGACAACCGATAGGACTTGATGATCAAAACATCACAAAACAATATAAAAAACAGCAACTTACTCCAAATAGATCAAGAAATAACACAAAGAGAGTTGTTTTTATTAATTCCTAAGCAAAGCAAGACAAGATACAAGTTGATTTTGATTCACTGTTCGAGAGGTGAATCATCTCTCCCACAATTCCTAGCAGCTTTTAGGAACCCAAAACCTCACAAAAACTGCTGCAGAAATTCAAAACATAACATAAAAACCCCAACCCACCATAATCTCTCCTCCCTTAAACAGCTCCAATCCCCTAATAAATGCCCTTTACATATTCCCCAAAGAGTCCCCTCCTTTTCAAAGAGTTTCCTCCCAAAGCCATTTCTACTATAGGTGATAAAAGAGGTCCTGGGCCCCACCTAGGAATTTGGATTGCTGTTACCAGCTACATCAATAACATAGTTTAAATATAGTTGTGTTAGATCGGTCCATTGGACCGGTTCAATCGGTCAAGGCGGGACCGGATTATGTGCGAAACAGGTGGAGAGTCTGCCTCGCCTGTACGCAGCACGCAAGCCGCCAAGTCCAAAGAGCAAATTTGGAAGGAATTTTGAGGGATTTGAGTCGAAAATTTAAATGTATGGATTGTTTAGGGATTTCCTTTTGATTTGTATGCATTAAATAACTTATTTTTCTAGGGTTAGGGCATCTTGAATTTGGCCAAAATTTGAGATCTACCAAATTTAGGTTTTTATTGGGCTAAAATTTGAGATCTACCAAATTTAGGTTTTTATTGGGCTCTAGCAGCGTCTAGAGATTTGGGAGAGATCGATTTTCCTCTCGAATAGAGGATCAAATGTATCTTGCTATTTTTTGTTTCACTTTCATCAAATAATACAAAATATCTACTATTTTCGTGATTTTGTGCGGATTTTTGTGAAGAATTCTTTTTGTTTTCCAAAGATTGATAGGAAATACTTGAGGTCTACAAGTGTTTCCTATCAAATTGGTATCAGAGTAAGTTTTGGGACCATTCGTGGGCTGATTTTGGGCAAATTTCAACGGCTAATTTTTGGCCGGGAAGGGAGAAAGTTGTTTTTTTAATCCAAATCAAGAATTTTTGGATTTACAAAATTCCGGATCAAAATGGCGACGAAGAAAGTTGATGCGCTAGAAGAAAGGCTTGAATGGGAGATTAACTGAATCAAGACAACGGTGGAGGAAAGGATTTCCTCCATGGAATGACAAGTAGCCGATCTCCGGGACATGATGAAGAAAATATTGAAAATCCACAGCCAAACAGTGGCTTCCATGGCAAAAAGGGAGGAAGGAAAAAACACGAATTCTGAAATTCGTAGGGAAGAAGATGAGCTGGAAATCGTGGAAGGAGAAAGAAGGAAACTCTATCTGGAGCCTTTCCAGAGGGAGGATAGATTAGTGTTAACCATCCAGGGGATTCAAGTAAGGGAGGATTTTCTCCCACTAGAGTTAGGAAGTACTAATATCATCTTGGGGATGAAGTGGTTGCAAACCTTGGGGGAAACCAAGGATAATTGGGAAGCACTCACGATGAAATTAAAGGTGGATGGGAGAAAGATGGTTATAAGGGGAGATGCAGGGCTATCTAAAGCAATGATATCACTTAAGACCATGGTTAGGAGCATACAAGAGGCGGGGTAAAATTATTTGGTGGTACTACATAGGCTGGAGGTGATAAGATTGGAGGACGGAGGAGATGTTTCTCTTTCAGTGCAGTCCTTGATTCCGCAATTCGGTAAGGTTTTTCAGCCACCTCAAGAATGGCCACCTCCACGGGAACATGAGCAGATTTCCACCTTGAGAACAAGGTGGATCTTTGAGAGGAGAGTATAGTTAAACCGGTCCACTGGATCGATCCAGCAAGTCCAGGAAGGACCGGCTTACGTGTGAAATAGACGGAGAAGTTCACCTAGCCTGTACACAGTGCGCAAGCCGCCGAGTCCAAAGAGCATATTTGGAAGGAATTTTGAGGGATTTGAGAGGGAAATTTGAATGCATGGACTGTTTAGGATTTCCTTTTGATTTGTATGCATTAAATAGCTTGTTTTCACAGGGTTAGGGCATCTTGAATTTGGCCAAAATTTGATATCTCCTAGATTTAGGTTTTCTTTGGGCTCTAGCGGCGTCTAGAGATTTGGGAGAGATCGATCCTCCTCTCGAATAGAGGATCAATTGTATCTTGCTATTTTCTGTTTCCCTTTCATCATATAATACAAATTATCTACTGTTTTCGTGATTTTGTGCAGATTTTTGTGAACAATTCTCGTTGTTTTCCTAAGAATGATGGAAATACTTGAGATCTACAAGTGTTTCTTATCAAGATGATATCGGTGATGTCCATAGTTAGTATAAAATGGGGTACTCTATGCATCTATAGGAGAAAAAAAGTGTTTGAGGTCAAACATTAAGTTTAACATAGATCCACTGCCATAATTGATGCGGACATCGGCACGAAGATTTGGCGCATCTATCACAGGAGGCGTCGTAAATCGACGGCTCTAATTTAAATTGTCATTTATGAGTTATTTTATGAATTTTAGCTCTTATTTTATGTTATTTCCTGTTTTACCCCTATGTTAGCTTATCTGAGTGTTGTGGCCCAAGGGGCAATTTTGTAATTTTGATTTTTCTCATGTTGTGGCCTATATATATAGGGTCTTAAGCTATTGCAATAGGGATGAAGAATTGATATTAAAAATTTATGTCCACACTTGTATTCTTGTGAGAGAGCGTTAGTGAGATTCCTAGGGGAAGGAGTCGGAGTTGTCACCAGCCGCAGGATGGGCCCGAGCTCGTGACTTGAAGTCCCTGGGAGAAGGGCAAAGAATCACCCGTCAGTCTTTGGAAGAGTCCAAGGCTCGTGATTTTTATTTTCTATAGTTTATTTCTATCTTTCGTTTTATCTTTATTTTTGTGTTGTTCCTTCTTACTTCTCTCTGTAGTCATATTTATCATCTTCCTACATCCACCTTCACGTCATCTTCTTCCTCTTCCCCATCTTCGTTTGGCCGCCGGATTCTAGCCTCACTTGAAACCCCATCCTTTTTCCCCATGACGGTAATCTCAATATCTTCATAACTTTCCATAATTCACCCTATGAGAAATTAGAAAGGATTTGATTCAAATTTGAAATTCAAATTTTGAATTTCAATTCTTTCCAAATTTGGAAATTCTTATTTAGGAAAGTGTTATGCATGATTCAAATTTAAATTCAAAGAGTTTGGATTTAGTCATAACCTTCCTAATACATTTTTGTTCTTTGGAAACTCTCCAAACCTTGCCCAAATCCCCTCCCTCTCTCTCTACATGCCGCCGGCCACCATGGGGCTTTCCTCCCATTAATTCCTCAATTAAAGCATTAATGGCCTCTTAATTTGAAATCAAATTTCAAATTAAGTTCCCCCCAATTTAAATCAAAACTGAAATTAAATTCAGATTTTGAAAGTTCTTAAATCAATGAGCCTTGAATTTCCACATTAATTGCTCCTTGGTTCTTGCATGGAAATTCCTCCACTAGAACCTCTCCAAATTCCTTACAATATTGAGCCCTCTTCCTCCCAAAACTGCAGCCAGAAATTTCAGCTAATTTCCTTGCCTCCAGGAAAGCCAAAACCAGCAAGGAAGTGGTCCAAGAAGGCCTCCAAACTGCTGTCCAAGATTTCTAAAGTTACAGAGTTTTTCTCCAACATTAAGCTTGCTATCCTGCACCGTGGGAAGTCTGAATTTGCTGTCCAGAATTCCTGTAGGCAAATTCTTCTCTGCTGTCCTCAAATTTCAGCAGGAATACTCAGTCCTGCTTACTAGACAGCTTTTCCCTTGCTGGCCAGAAAATTCCAGCCAAGAACTTTGTTGTCTAGCTTTCCGGAAAGGCGTCACTTGCTGCCAAAAGCTCCGGTACATGAAATCTTACTACCCGTTCTACATCAATAATACTTGTTCCAGTCAATCTAAGCACACAGAAGACCAACCATTTGGAGAAATACAAATATGAAAAAAAGAGGAAGATGAAAATTTTAGATAAAAATTCAATAGATATGATCATTTAGATTTGACAGATTAGGAAGAAAGAATAAGTGAATCAACAATAAATTGAATAAAAGTGTACAAGGATTACCAAACAGATTTTTTCATGGATGTGCAT